AAACCTGAGGGTTTTCTTCTTGGAAAAGCTTGAGAGCTTTGTCCACTTCTTCTTCTCTCTATTTCGTCTAGGCTTCTTACCTCTTTCTTCTCTACGCAAGTTCCACTCCATTTGTATCCTTCTTCTGAGCTTTGAGGTGTTTGTTGGCTTGATTTGAGAGCATTTGCTGGAGGAGTTTGGTTGGACTCTGGACCTTCTTGTTGTGGTGGAACAATCGGTTTGTTGCCCTAAGCACATACTTACTTAACCTACATTTCAATGCATGTGAGGAAACCGTTCTGTCGGCTGTTCTGAGGATAGCGACTTTTTTTATTTCTTTAATTTCTTTGATCTCTCTTTCTAGTTTTTATCCGTCGGTTTCTGTGCTAATAGATGATCGCTACTATTTGAATCGAATTTTGGTTATAGTTTTGCCATCATTCTCCTTTTTTGGCTTTTCTTAGTGTGCTCTGCATCAATTCTTATATGAGTGCCCATGAGGGTCTTTGGTTGAACCTCGTTAGCCTAGTTTTAATCCAGATCGATGACGATTTAGGTCCAATTGAGTTGATTCAAATTCGATTCAATTAGACTTGATAAAAATTCAATCGAACTTGAATCGACTCGAAATTGGGTTAAATTATACATGATCACATTCAATTAAATTAGATCCGTTCATTTAGACACATCGAGTTTCGATTTGGTTCGAGTCGATGAGATCGATGACGATTTAGGTCCAATTGAGTTGATTCAAATTCGATTCTCCATTAGACTTGATAAAAATTCAATCGAACTTGAATCAACCGAAATTGGCTTAAATTATACATGATCACATTCAATTAAATAGATCCGTTCATTTTAACCACATCGAGTTCGATTTGGTTCGAGTCGATGAACTTATTCGAGTTTTTTTTTATTGATATGATCGAGTTTAGTCGAATTTGAATTAACCCGAGTCGAGTCGATTCAAACCCAATATGGACCTAATAGGTTCAATTCAATTTTAACTAAAGCTTAATTAACTTCTAAGCAATTTTAATTTGAGTTATAAATCAGGAAATGGAACCTACATACCTGATTTAATAAAAAATCCCATTATGCCATTATTAGTTGGCAGAGTCGTGTGATCTGCTTGTTTTGGAAGGAATGCAGCGTGGATTAAAAAGGAAGCACGATAGAGCTTTTCTTCGATGTATAGAGACGGGATCGAGAAGGCAGGGAAGCGGGAATATCTCCAAGGCTCGCAACTCTCTCAGCATAACCCAATTGGTATAGAGAACTCCCTCTCGACATCTCTTCATTCGTGTCCCCGCTCTAAGGATTCGCAAGATCCCTCTCTTAGATTCTCCTTGTTTGCAGACACCAGCGAAATCGAGGCTTTACTCCGCTCCAGTCATCCGCACTCCAGGCACCCATTGCTCCCCTTTCTCTTACTCGAGCGGACCAAACTCGACATCAGCTCCCTTCGTCTTCCTTCATTCGAAGCGACCAACAAGAGCCAAAACCTCGCCGGCCTCTCCTTACTCTCTTGTTCGCGAGTTTTGAGACCGCACCGACGCCATCGACTTGCCTTAACCGCTGGACTTGCAAGATGATTTCTTCCCCTCTCTTTCTTTCTCTCCTTCTATTCTCGCTTCTCTTATATTTCTTCCATCCCCTTTTCTCTCTCTACTCCACCCATTTCCTCATTTCATTCCTTTTTCTTCTCCCTTCTTCCTAATTCCTTCTCCTCTTATCCTTAATCTTTTTCCTCTTCTTTAAGCTTCATTTGCTTCTTTTCATCCTAACCTAAAATCTTGTGGATGATTTGTTTAGTGACAAACTTCACTCATGCAAAGTTTAATTAATTTTATTGAATCAAAAAACTGAAAGTGAAAATGAAGTTTTATGTGTATATGTCATTACACTCTAGTTCCTTTGATTCCTAGTGATGCATTCACTCTCTATGTTAGATTTTTATGATAGCTTGCTTAGTTGATCTGACACCATGTGTTGATTTATGTACTTATCCCATGTGTTGGCTTGTGCTGTTTGAGAATAAAGAGTTGGTATGAGAAATTTATATTTTTTATTCATGTCATATGATTTAAAGTTTTGGGTGTGAAGTGTGAACATTGTGTGAGTGTAGGAAGTTATTTTTCCCAGTATCAAGGTATGCATACAAATTGTTTGTGATAATGCCTATTGGAAAGGATACATGTTTTAGATAAAAGATAATGGAGATTTGAGATTATATTTGATTTGACACATGATAAGCCTTGCGAAACTTATACTATTAGCATGCATGCATCTTGCTTACGCTATGTTGTGATGAACGGATTGTGCCTGAGGAGATAAATTCAGGCCATAGTAATAGTTGATGAAGATCACTATCATGATTTATTGCATAGACTCTTACAAAAAAGCATATCATCAGGTGATGTAGAGATTGTTATCATGCAAATGAGCTTCCATATGCTTTATATTCAAATTGTGACTCGTATGTATGTTGATATTCCAAGGAAAGTGAGCTTGTTTGCTTGAAACGGTTTACATTGACAACTGTTTGTAATGCATTAATCCTCTCATGGCTTACACTCGCATGAAGAGTAATTTCTATGTAATGTGTTCTTGAGAATTCCTATCATGAGCATGGAGAATATTAATGTTGCATGTATCTATTTTGAGAATTGTGCTTAATGCTGAAAGGCTTTTAGTTTTTCTTGATTTGGGCTTTTCTCTTTATTTCTTTGGGCTCATGTGGAAAGTCATGTTAATAGTGGTGTTGGAAGTGTTCTTGTTACTTTATGTTTTGTGGAGTCTTCGTCTCCGAGTGATTTAAGAGCTTTTTGTAGAATTTGTTATGACTTAGTAACCCTTTGGGATGAAGATTTATCGTTTATTTCATATTGAGAAAGTTAGTGACTTGTTTTATGTTGAGAAACTCTATGAGCCTCTTTTTGTGGAAAGTTCCCTGAAGTGCTTTGGATGCAAACTGAACATAAACCATTTTATATTAGAAAGTTTTATGGATGTTTTGCATTGGGGAATTTTACGAGCTATTTGACGTTGGAGAGTCTCATGAGTTTCCATATTATTGAAAGTTTATGAAAAGCTCTATGAGAAGGCTTGTTATGAAGTGCTTTGTTATTAGAGAATTTCATGAGTTTTTCTTCTGGAAAAGGCTTGTGAATGTTTTACGACGAAAAGCTTTAAAAATTTTATTGTTGGAGAATTTTCGATGATTTATGCCATGTTGACAACATTTGTCATTCGTTTTGCACCGGAAAGAGTTATGGTGAATTTCATATGAGAAAGTTTTGTGTTACTTTGTTTGAAAGATTTTATGGGTTGTTTTTGGATCTTGGGATTTTATGAATGGTCTTTGCTATGGAAGCCTGATGTCAAAAGGCTCTTTTAGTCTTCTCTACATGAGTGAGTTTTCTTTCTCTTAGGGTGCGTTTGGGATGGATTTTTTCCTGCTTGTGCGCACGGAACGTAACCGAGTGGTCGTTTGGGGTCAGACGGTGGCGCTCCGTTTTGAAAATTTTTTACGTCCCGCGGTTGCTTTTCCCGTCCAAAAGAATGTCCCTGCTTTCGCCTGGCTTCCCGCTGTTCGGAAGCATTAAAAATACGTCAATACCCTTACAGTTTTTTATGCACCGTCTTCCTCATCCTGGCCAACTTCCATACTCGTTGTAGCAGGACGCTTCATCCTCTGGTACCATTAGAATCGTTCAGGTATATCTCCAAATTTCACCGAAAGTAACAAAGCTTCACCAACGTTCGCAGACTCGGCTCCTATTTCTAACTCTCGGTTCTCCGCCCGCTCCCTCCTAACCTGTCAGCTTGAAGAGCTAAAGGTCCATCCCAATCTCCTCGACATCCGTCGCTGTCCGATCCGGCCCAGACGAACGACCTCAAGCCCTAATCTCCCTCTGCCGATCGCATTCCACAGTTAGCAGCGACTGCCAGTTCCGCCTCGCCTCCACTAGACCTTCTGCCCTACCGTTCGCTGGCTCCCGTCCCTCTCTGATTTGGGCCGAACAAGAGCTTTTCGACATTGTTTCTCCTCCTGAAAATCAGTAGATTCCAAAGGGTTTAGTAGGTATTGGCTTTACCTTTTTTTTTTATAAGATTGAATTAAATTTTTGAAACATAGGGACATCCTTTGTAAAGAGTAATAGGGTTCTGAGATTGAAAAGAAACAAGATTTTTAACGGAGGATGGCAAGCCTTTTTTTTTGTGTCCCCTGTTTTTCTCCTCTTTACTTTTCTCTGTTGTTCATTTGCTACTTGACAAAGGAATGCATGCTTTAGAATAGAGACTTTATACATGAAAACCAACCCCTATAGAATCACCTGTCAATCTATGATCTTTCGTTTTCTTAACGGAGCTGTGTTGATGGCATTACACAATTTTTTTTCATTTTGATAATGATCCTATGTGTTTAATAAGCTGGTGTTAGTTTGTTAGGATTTAGCAAAATGCATAAGTTTGGAGAAACCTGTCATTTGAAACTTAGCTTCGGACTTTCCTTGATTATATGAGGTTATTATTTATATTGCCATTTGTTAGAAATTGTTCTTGCCTTGATTTTGATTACTGGAACAATGGAATAGGATATACTTTACCTCGGCTACGTTGGATTTGCTCTTGTTTACTTCCGAATGAGGCTTGAAATTTTGAGAAAGAAGAACCAAATTTTCAGATATCTGCGCGTTTACAATTTTATTCTTATTGTTCTTTCTCTAGCTTATCAATATCCAATTTTTGGGGATTTTTGTTCTGCTAAATGTGGCACTGTGGACTATATTTATGAGGTTATTATTTTTATAAATATGATTATGGGTTTGAAATTAAATCGCGGTCTACACTGGTCGAAACTAATGCATCAAAGTCAATATCGAGAAATCCTCCTGCCATTAAAGTTCTTGAACAAACAACTGAAATATTTGAAGACATTGCAACTATATTTGTTTCTCCACCAAGCTTCTCGAGGATCCAAACGAAACGAGAAATTTTTATGCCGATTTGCCCTGAACGACGAGCACTTTATCTTCGTTATTGCTATGGAAATCAAGACACAACAAGTCAGAGTTTCTATACAGTTTAACAATCAATGACTTTGTATTTTCTTTATTGATCTTTCTAAAATGAACCTTTTGTAGTATGTAGATATCTGAACTATTTTAGTACTATTTTTTGTTAACACTTAGCAGGGACTTGTTTGTTCCTAACAATTGTGTTTGTTAATTCTGTAGAGTTTTAAATATTGGGTTGCTGAGTTTTTCTTCCTGTGAACCACTGCCAAATATGTTAATGTGTTCTTATGACTTTCATTACTATGCTGCCTGCATTGCTCAAAAGACTCAAAATTTTTTAGATGACACCTTTTTATTCTGTGAACTGCACAGAAATTTGTGTTTCTCGTAGTTCGCTTAAAGTATGTATAACATACTGTTCAGTGTTGGGCTTAACAACATTATACACTGCAATTTTTTAAGAGCATTTAGTACAGCTAAATCTATTTAATTTTTGATCATTTCCCAAAGATTGACATTATGTTAAAATTTTCCTTTTGGGATTAATGTTATACCTTATATAGCAGTATTTATCCAATATTAGTTGTGTGCATTTGTTTGCCAAAATAGCCCTAACTATGCTTTAGGACTTCTTTTTTCTAGGTGTTAACCCGTATACTGTACCAAAATATAACCAAAAAAAAAAAAAAAAGCTCATACCTGTAGCGACTCCTGGATGCCAACTATATGCTAATTTTTAAAAATTAGTTAGCCTAACATGTTTTTTATTTCTAAGCAGCATGTCATTTGAGTAAGGTTTGTGCAAATTTTTTTATTATTATATTGAAGATAGTCTGATAAAAACTTTCTGGTGGTTGTAAATTTTGATAAACAGTTATTTGCAACAGAATTTGCACCTGATATTTCTCAAAATTAATATCTCCAGGCGATTTCCCTCAGCATTTTGAACCGTTTATCTAAATGTTGTAAAACTTGCTTGTGACTGATTACACCACAAATCCCTAAGCTTTTATATATTAGAATAATACTGCCACTGATTTCAGGACCATGAAGTTTTCCTGTAAGCAATAACTGAAGAGGCATGAAGAGAAGACTTCCCTGCATAAAAAAATCCAAACATGAGAGTTTTAGCGTAGATTAGACTCACTCAAGGAAATTGATTAAGGTTGCTTATACGTCTCGGTGAGAGAACAATAATGCTCAACATGCGGGGAATTAATTATTTCTAACAATTTAGCTTCCCTGAAAGTAGTATTAGACTATCTTGTTTTGTTTTGTTTACTTTAATCAAAAAAATCTTTACATTCAGCCGAACTGAAAACTTCTTTAATGAAGCATAAGCATTGTTTTTCGAAGAATAAAAACTTGTAATACATCCTTCCAGGCCAAAGTTATGGCTTTGCCGATTATAAATTTGTAGTAATTAAGGGTCTGTTTGTATGATCGCCTGGAAGGATGTATTACAAGTTTTTATTTCTTCGAAAACACATGCTTATGCTTCATTAAAGAAGTTTTCAGTTCAGGCTGAATGTAAAGATTTTTTGATTAAAGTAAACAAAACAAAACAAGATAGTCTAATACTACTTTCAGGGAAGCTAAATTGTTAGAAATAATTAATTCCCCGCCATGTTGAGCATTATTGTTCTCTCACCGAGACGTATAAGCAACCTTAATCAATTTCCTTGAGTGAGTCTATCTACGCTAAAACTCTCATGTTTGGATTTTTTTATGCAGGGAAAGTCTCTCTTCATGCCTCTTCAGTTATTGCTTACAGGAAAACTTCATGGTCCTGAAATCAGTGGCAGTATTATTCTAATATATAAAGCTGGGATTTGTGGTGTAATCAGTCCACAAGCAAGTTTTAAAACATTAGATAAACGGTTCAAAATGCTGAGGGAAATCGCCTGGGAAGCATATAATTTTGAGAAATAATCAGGTGCAGATTCTGTTGCAAATAACTGTTTATCAAAATTTACAACCAGCAGAAAGTTTTGATCAGACAATCTTCAATATAATAATAATAAAATTTGCACAAACCTTACTCAAATGACATGCTGCTTAGAAATAAAAAACATGTTAGGCTAACTAATTTTTAAAAATTAGCATATAGTTGGCATCCAGGAGTCGCTACAGGTATGAGCTTTTTTTTTTTTTTTGGTTATATTTGGTACAGTATACGGGTTAACACCTAGAAAAAAGAAGTCCTAAAGCATAGTTAGGGCTATTTTGTCAAGTAGCAATGCCATTACCATAGACCCAGGAAAACTTATACTATGACAAACATTTGGGATTGATCAATTGTTCTTTAAAAACAGATGACGGCCATAATAAAGAATATCAATGCAATGCTCTTAAGCCAACAGTAAAGTAGTGAAGGCATTGAAAAGGCAAAGAGCCTTAAAACTAAATCAAAGCTTTAAGAATATACTAATGATCTGGAAGTCAAGTCCATAAATAAAATTACTGGAAGTCAAAATGTATTAAGCTGAAACATGACTTCTAATTACTGCTCCCTTCCAAGGCAATATCACAGCCCACAACCTGTACACTGAAACAACACAAACAGGTAGCCATGCGAAAGAGTGGTTAATAGATTTACTGCATTGCCCTGTCTCACAAACCTGGAACATGCCGTCCAGATGAAGAAAAATAATAACCTCATAAATATAGTCCACAGTGCCACATTTAGCAGAACAAAAATCCCCAAAAATTGGATATTGATAAGCTAGAGAAAGAACAATAAGAATAAAATTGTAAACGCGCAAATATCTGAAAATTTGGTTCTTCTTTCTCAAAATTTCAAGCCTCATTCGGAAGTAAACAAGAGCAAATCCAACGTAGCCGAGGTAAAGTATATCCTATTCCATTGTTCCAGTAATCAAAATCAAGGCAAGAACAATTTCTAACAAATGGCAATATAAATATAACCTCATATATATATATATCAGCATATGATTCACAAACTTAATAAAATAAATTTGAACATGCTATCAAAAGAAAATTTTTATTTCAAATAAGTAAAAAGTATAATATGAAGGTTCAAAGAGAGAAATAAATGTAAATTAATATTTACCTCTAATTTCTCTTTCCACCATTCATCGGGTGCGTCAATGGTTTTTTTCCTAGGATCCCAACCCAGTCCAGTGGATCCACGCTTCAATTCTTTCCATAATTTCCAATCTTTTTTTAACTGATCCCATTTATTTTTTAACTGAACTTTATCATACTCTCTTCCAGTTTTATCATAAAAATTCTTAATTAAATTCGTCCAACCCTCTTTATTGAAGTGTGTAGTTGGTCGATTGCCGAGTTCAATCTCTCTTAGACATAAATCACAAAATATAATCTTCACATCTTTCTCCCATGTTGCGGAAGGGGTAAAGCCAATACCTACTAAACCCTTGGAATCTACTGATTTTCAGGAGGAGAAACAATGTCGAAAAGCTCTTGTTCGGCCCAAATCAGAGAGGGGACGGGAGCCAGCGAACGGTAGGGCAGAAGGTCGAGTGGAGGCGAGGCGGAACTGGCAGTCGCTGCTAACTGTGGAATGCGATCGGCAGAGGGAGATTAGGGCTTGAGGTCGTTCGTCTGGGCCGGATCGGACAGCGACGGATGTCGAGGAGATTGGGATGGACCTTTAGCTCTTCAAGCTGACAGGTTAGGAGGGAGCGGGCGGAGAACCGAGAGTTAGAAATAGGAGCCGAGTCTGCGAACGTTGGTGAAGCTTTGTTACTTTCGGTGAAATTTGGAGATATACCTGAACGATTCTAATGTACCAGAGGATTGAGCGTCCTGCTACAACGAGTCGTGGAAGTTGGCCAGGATGAGGAAGACGGTGCATAAAAAACTGTAAGGGTATTGACGTATTTTTAATGCTTCCGAACAGCGGGAAGCAGGCGAAAGCAGGGACATTCTTTTGGACGGGAAAAGCAACCGCGGGACGTAAAAATTTTCAAAACGGAGCGCCACCGTCTGACCCCAAACGACCACTCGGTTACGTTCCGTGACGCACAGCAGGGAAAAATCCATCCCAAACGCACCCTAAGAGAAAGAAAACTCACTCATGTAAAAGAGCCTTTTGACATCAGGCTTCCATAGCACAAGACCATTCATAAAATCCCAAGATCCCAAAAACAACCCATAAAATCTTTCAAACAAAGTAACACAAAACCTTTCTCATATGAAATTCACCATAACTCTTTCCGGTGCAAAACGAATGACAAATGTTGTCAACATGGCATAAATCATCGAAAATTCTCCAACAATAAAATTTTGTAAAGCTTTTCGTCGTAAAACATTCACAAGCCTTTTCCAAGAAGTACAACTCATGAAATTCTCTAATAACAAAGCACTTCATAAAACTTCTCAATGCAAAACAACTCATAGAGCTTTTCATAAAACTTTCAATAATATGGAAACTCATGAGACTCTCCAACGTCAAATAGCTCGTAAAACTCCCCAATGCAAAACCATCCATAAAACTTTCTAATATAAAATGGTTTATGTCAGTTTGCATCCAAAGCACTTCATGGAACTTTCCAACAAAAAGAGGCTCATAGAGTTTCTCAACATAAAACAAGTCACTAACTTTCTCAATATGAAATAAACGATAAATCTTCATCCCAAAGGGTTACATAAGTTCATAACAAAATTCTACAAAAAGCTCTTAAATCACTCGGAGAACGAAGACTCCACAAAACATAAAGTAACAAGAACACTTCCCAACACCACTATTAACATGACTTTCCACATGAGGCCCAAAGAAATAAAGAGAAAGCCCAAAGTCAAGAAAAACCTAAAAGCCTTTCAGCATTAAGCACAATTCTCCAAAATAGATACATGCAACATTAATATTCTCCATGCTCATGATAGGAATTCTCAAGAATCACATTACATAGAAATTACTCTTCATGCGAGTGTAAGCCATGAGAGGATTAATGCATTACAAAACAGTTGTCAATGTAAACCTTTCAAGCAAACAAGCTCACTTCTCTTGGAATATCACATACATACGAGTCACAATTCGAATATAAAGCATATGGAAGCTCATTTGCATGATTAACAATCTCTACATCACCTGATATTGCTTTTTTGTAAGAGTCTATACAATAAATCATGATAGCGATCTTCATCAACTATTACTATGGCATGAATTTATCTCCTCAAGGCACAATCCGTTCATCACAACATAGAGTAGGCAAGATGCATGCATGCTAATAGGATAAGTTTTCGCAAGGCTTATCATGTGTCAAATCAAAATATAATCTCAAATCTCCATTATCTTTTTATCTAAACATGTATCCTTTCCAATAGGCATTATCACAAACAATTTGTATGCATACCTTGATATTGGGAAAAATAACTTCCTACAACTCACATCATGTTCACACTTCACACCCAAAACTTTAAATCATATGACATGAATAAAAAAATATAAATTTCTCATACCAACTCTTTATTCTCAAACAGCACAAGCCAACACATGGGATAAGTACATAAATCAACACATGGTGTCAAGATCAACTAAGCAAGCTATCATAAAATCTAACATAGAGAGTGAATGCATCACTAGGAATCAAAAGGACTAGAGGTGTAATGACATATACACCATAAAACTTCATTTTCACTTTCAGTTTTGATTCAATAAAATTAATTAACTTTGCATGAGTGAAGTTTGTCACTAAACAAATCATCCACAAGATTTTAGGTTAGGATGAAAAGAAGCAAATGAAGCTTAAAGTAGAGGAAAAAGATTAAGGATAAGAGGGAGAAGAAAATTAGGAAGAAGGGGAGAAGAAAAGGAATGAAATGGAGGAAATGGGTGGAGTAGAAGAGAAGCAAAAGGGGATGGAAGAAATATAAGGAGAAGCGAGAATAGAAGGAGAGAAAGAAAGAGAGGGGAAGAAATCATCTTGCAAGTCCAGCGGTTAAGGCAAGTCGATGGCGTCGGGCTCGGTCTCAAAACTCGCGAACAAGAGAGTAAGGGAGGCCGGCGAGGTTTTGGCTCGTTGTTGGTCGCTCGAATGAAGGAAGACGAAGGGAGCTGATGTCGAGTTTGGTCCGCTCGGGTAAGAGAAAGGGGAGCAATGGGTGCTGGAGTGCGGATGACTGGAGCGGGAGTAAAGCCTCGATTTCGCCTGGTGTCTGCAAACAAGGAGGTCTGAAGAGAGGGATCTTGCGAATCCTTAGAGCGGGACCGAATGAAGAGATGTCGAGAGGGAGTTCTCTATACCAATTGGGTTATGCTGAGAGAGTTGCGAGCCTTGGAGATATTCCCGCTTCCCTGCCTTCTCGATCCCGTCTCTATACATCGAAGAAAAGCTCTATCGTGCTTTTCCTTTAATCCACGCCTGCATTCCTTCCAAAACAAGCAGATCACACGACTCTGCCAACTAATAATGGCATAATGGGATTTTTTATTAAATCAGGTATGTAGGTTCCATTTCCTGATTTATAACTCAAATTAAAATTGCTTAGAAAGTTAATTAAGCTTTAGTTAAAATTGAATTGAACCTATTAGGTCCATATTGGGTTTGAATCGACTCGACTCGGGTTAATTCAAATTCGACTAAACTCGATCATATCAATAAAATTAAACTCTAATATGTCATCGACTCGAACCAAATCGAACTCGATGTGGTTAAAATGAACGGATCTAATTTAATTGAATGTGATCATGTATAATTTAACCCAATTTCGAGTTGATTCAAGTTCGATTGAATTTTTATCAAGTCTAATGGAATCGAATTTGAATCAACTCAATTGGACCTAAATCGTCATCGATCTCATCGACTCGAACCAAATCGAACTCGATGTGTCTAAAATGAATGGATCTAATTTAATTGAATGTGATCATGTATAATTTAACCCAATTTCGAGTCGATTCAAGTTCGATTGAATTTTTATCAAGTCTAATTGAATCGAATTTGAAT